ACCTCAACAACAACAACAAAACCATCAATGTCATCAGAAGGTTCCAGAAGCTGAGGGAAAGGACTCTTATCTTTCTCCATATATACACCCTAGAAGGTTAAGGATTTAGGCGCCAAAATATAATTCACAGATAAAATGGCTATACTGATGTGCTGTTTCAGTATTTTCATCAAATTAATCAGAGTGTTCTTGCAACCATAGTTTAACTCCAAACTCTCAAATATACCTTTAGATACAGAAAGAGCTCCCCAAATCATCCCCCAACATTTTTTTTTATCCTCACCCGAGGACATTTTTCCATTTTTTGTTCAGATAGAGTGGGAGGGCGAGAGAGGAAGAGAGAAACATCGACGTGAAAGGGACACATCTAGTGGCTGCCCCCCCCCAAAGACCATCCAGGGCTGGGGACAAACTGAAACCAAGGTACGGGCCCCTAGCGGGAACCAAACCCGGGTCTCTCTGGACCACAGGCCGATGCTCTAACCGCTCAGCCAAACCAGCCAGGGCCCCAACTTTTATTTCATAGTCTAAAATCCCTTTAGCAGAAATAATGTTTCATGCCACCATCTTATAATTTTTATTTTTATTCTTCACCCGAGGATATTTTTCTATTTATCATCAAATAAAGTGAGAGGGAGGGAAAGAGAGAGACAGACAGAAACATCAATGTGATAGAGCCACATCGACTGGTTGCCTCCTGCACTTGACCAGGGCCGGGCCGAACCACAACTGAGGTACGTGCCCTTGACTGGAATCGAACCTGCGACTCATTGGTCCGCAGGCCGACGCTCTAACTGCTGAGCCAACCTGGCCAGGGCTCATGCTACCATCTTATCAATTAAGCATCTATACTGTGCCAGCTACACTGCACCAGGTTCTCTGCATGTATCTTTTTTCATGCTCAAGACAATCCTCATAAGCATTTTATGATGATGAAACAGATTCAAAAAGGTTAAAACACTTGCCCAAAGGCATAATTCATCTGTGAATGGTGGGATTTGAATCCAAGTAAGCCTAACTCCAAAACCTATATATTTTTTCCATTATACAGCTCTCCTTACCATGAAAGAGCAGGGGCTTGGGGCACAAAGGGCCCTGAGAGAGGACATGCAAATGATTTATAAAATTACTTCCAGTTCCAAAATTCCCAGTCTTTGATCTATATTCATATGTAGAATTTTTAAGATGTCTGGCTGGAATCCTTTTACACAGAACAGGTTTTAGTTGGAGGGATGTGTAGATGAAGGGCCTGGTGCCCAAAGATAACCCTGGAGGAATAAAGTGTAGCCTGAGGTCCCTAACCTTTGCCTCACTGATAAGGGTTTCTATGCCTCCTCTGCTTTTCCCCAGGAAATAGGGACCTAAAACCATATGTTCAAAACTATACCCAGTAGCATGGGGATTCCAAAGTACCAAGTGTTAGGAACACCCTTGATGTTAGCCTTGGATAAGCACACAAACACCTAACTTAAGGTGCTGGAGCCCAGGAAATTTGCCCAGGCCATTTGACTATGAGAAGGGCCAATTATGCTGGCCCACAAGCAACTCTGTGACTGCTCAATTTTCCCTTATTTTCTACAGTATAATGGTCTTTTCTATGATTCTCCAACTCCCTTCTTCCCTTTCAAAGGAGTGGACTGAAATGAGCTACCCGCCTATGAATAAATTTCTCTCTTGTAACAACAGTAGCAAAAAGAGAAAATGAAACAGAAAACAAAAAAGCCCCCAACTACCACAACTAAATTGAGACAAAGAAAATGTCCCCTCAATTGCACCTTTCCATGCACATCTGCCACTTTCTTTTTTGAGACCAAGCTGCTGAATCATCTTGCTATCTTAGCTATTTGGCTGAGTGAGGAAACAGGAGATTTCACCAGCAATGACATGAATATTGGCTTCTAGGATGAGGCCAAAGTCAGACAAGGTTGAGACAAAAATCATTCCTAGTGAAGGGAAAATGTTAAGCGGCCTATTAGTGCCACCTGCTGTCCAATTCTGGAAAGCAAGCATGAGGAATTCTGATATTAGCCTGAAGGGATTTATTCATCTTACATCTGTTTAGTGTGACCCATGCAACAGGGTGCGACAGGATTGAAGAGTAGATATGAAGCTGAATACTACAAAGCTCCTCCTATCTAGTGGTTCACAACCTAGTGAAAGTGGAAGATATTTAAACAGACAAGTCACCAGTGTGTTTTGTGCTTCACAGGGGTATGTGTAAGATGGAAAGATAGCAAAGAAAAAGGAGTGATTATCTTTAGGTCAAAGGGATACCCTATAAAGATTTTGAAGGATGGCTAGGAGTTGACCAGAAAAATAAAAGTGGAGGCAATGGGCACTCCAGGCAAGAGGAGTGTAGGCAAAGACCCTCAAGCGCAAGATGACATTCCATTGCTAAACAGCTTAGTTTTTATCTTGCAGGCAATGAGAAACCTTTGACAGCAACGAGGGCTATAATATGGTGAGACAGACATTTTACAAAGGCATTATGGAAGCAAGAAAGGAGGAAATGAATAAAAGGAAAGATTGGAAGCAAGGAGACCGATGTTACAAGCCTGTTGCCAACAGTTTAGATGACAAATGATATGGAGTTAAATTAAGGCAGAGACAGTGAGATAGGAGAAGGGATGGATTTGAGAGATATCTGAAAGAGAAAATTAACATGATTTGATGTTTCACTGTCCAAGTGTCAAAGAGAAAAAGGTGTTTGGTTTGGGTGACTAGGTAGAAGAGAAGTAGGTAAAATATGGAGTAGAATGTAAGCTAATGATTTGAGACAAGTTTAACCTAAAATGTTATAAACTTAAAATGTTATAACCACAAAGTAAATTGACATATGGGTCTATAGTTCAGTGATCCCATCTCTTCATTTCCCAAGGTGCAAATTTCCATTAGAGAACAATTTTGCTTTCTCCATAGGTACCTCTACAGCCTACCTCACAACATATGGGTAAGTTCTGCTTGTGCATGAGCATTTCATCCTCTTTCAGGCAGAAACAGTATGGCATAGCACAGAAAAAACATGGCTGGTTTAAAAAATTTTTTTTTTCTTTTCCTTTATTGATTTTTTTAGAGAGACAGGAAATGAGAAGAGAAGAGATAGAAATATCGATGAGAGAGAACATTGATTGGCCACCTCCTGCATGACCCCCACTGGGGATCGGGCCCACAACCTGGGCATGTGTCCTGGCCAGGAATCCAACCAGAGACCTCTTGGTACATGGGTCGATGCTCAACCACTAAGCCACACCAGCCGGACAAAACATGGCTGGTTTAGACCTAGCTCCTTAATTTAACAGTTGTGTTACTTTGAGAAAACTACTTAACTTCTCCAAGCCTCATTTTCCTCATTTGTAAGATGAGAATAACTTCTGCTTTTCAGTTGTTATAGTTTAAAATAACGTATAGCAGCCACTCGATGTGTCCCTTTCATGTCGATGTTTCTCTCTCTCTCCCTTCCACTCTATCTGTACAAAATATCGAAAAAAATGTCCTCGGGTGAGGATAAAAAAACAAGAAACAAACAAACAAAATAATGTATAGCCCAACCAGTGTTGCTCAGTGGTTGAGCATTAACCCAGGCACCAAGAGGTCGGTCGCCAGTTCAATTCCCAGTCAAGGCACAAACCCAGGTTGTGGGCCAATTCCCAGTGGGGGGCGCGCAGGGAGGCAGCAGATTGATGTTCTCGCTCATCAATGTTTCTATTTCTCTTTCCCTCTTCCTTCCTTTCTCTCTAAAATTAATAAAGATGAATATTGTTTAAAAATAAAATAATGGCCCTGGACAGTTTGGCTCAGCGCTTAGAGCGTCAGCCCGCCGACCGGAGAGTCCTAGGTTCGGTTCCCGCTAAGGGCATGTACCTCGGTTGCAGTTTGTCCCCGGCCCCAGTTGGGGTCACGTGGGTGGCAGCCACTAGATGCGTCTCTCTCACATCGATGTTTCTCTCTCTCTCTTCCTCCCTCTCTCCATCCTCTATCTGAGGATAAATGCAAAAATGTCCTTGGGTGAGGATTAAAATAAATAAATAAATAAATAAATAAATAAATAAATAAATAAATAAATAAAATAATGTATACATAGGGTCTGATATGTATCAGAAGTACTGAATATATGTGAGTCAGTTTTATCCTTGTATCATAAAAGGTCACCAGAAAGCTTCTTTATTTTTTTCTTAAGTTCTATTTTTTTAAATCCTCACCCAAGGACATGCTTTCATTGATCTCAGAGAGAGAGATAAAGGAAGAAGGGGGGAGAGAGAGCGAAAGAGAAAGAGAGAGAAACACTGATTGGTTGCCTACCATTTGCACCCAAATAGGGATCAAATACAAAACCTGGGTATATGCCCTGACTGGAATCAAACCTGAGACCTTTCTGTGTATGGGATGATGCTCCAACCAACTGAACCAGACCAGCTAGGGCTTTATGTTGTTTTAATGGCATGCTCTTAGCTTTTATTGAACGTTGACTAAAGAAATGGCTTTTCATATTTTCTAGAAAATTGCTGGCAAACACACCATTCATTACACCATGTATATCCCTTATGTAAAAGGCCCCACATCCTTTTAATATAGGTACTCGAAAGAAGTTTCACTCTTTTGAAGAATGTATTGTTTCCTTCATTATTAGTTATTTCTTTAACTGACAAGTTTTGAGCTAAATTGGGTATTCAATTACAGTAGGTCTACTAGCCCATTGGCTACTATATTTGTTTCTATTATGAAGTTAATAGCTACCTTTTTTTGTTTTTTACCCTCACCCGAGAACATTTTTTGCATTTATCTTCAGATAGAGTGGGAGGGAGAGAGGGAGGAAAGAGAGAGAAACATCGACTGATTGCCACCCATACGACCCCAACCGGGGCTGGGGACAAACTGCAACAGAGGTATGTGCCCTTAGCAGAACTGAACCCAGGACTCTCTGGTCCGCCGGCCGACACTCTAACCACTGAACCAAACCGACCAGGGCAATAGCTACGGTTTTTTGAGTTGTTAGTACTTGCCAGGAATTATGCCAAGTGCTTCATCTTCATTGTTTCCTTCTTTCCTTTTTTTTTTTTAATCCTCACCCAAGGATATTTTTCCATTAATCTTCAGGTAGAGTGGCAGAGAGGGAGAGAGACAGAGAGAAACATCAAGGTGAGAGAGACACATCAACTGGCTGTCTCCTGCAGGGTCTCAACCAGGGCTGGGGATGAACCGCAACAGAGGTATGTGCCCTTGGCTGGAACTGAACCCGCGACTCCGGTTAGAGCCCGCTGACGCTCTAACCACTGAACCAAGCCAGCGTTCACTGTCATTGTTTCTTTATTTTTTTTCTAAAGTTTGTATCTTTTTTTTTTTGGTAAGTGCCCCTAGCAGGATCCGAACCCGGGACTCTGGTCCACAGGCCAATGCTCCAACCACTGAGCAAAACGGGCCAGGGCCATTGTTTCAATTAATCTTCACAACAACCCTCTGAGGCATCACCACCATTTTTCATAAGAGGTTAAAAGGAACCTATGGCTCAGTGATGGATCTGGGTAGTAAGTCAAAATCAGGTGGCTGGTGTGGTTCGGTTGGGCATCCTCCAGTGCGCTGGAATGGTTGCCGGTTGGATTTCCGGTCAGAGCACATGTCGGAGTTGCCTGCTCGATCCCCCAGTAGGGGGCGTGCAGGAGGTAGCCGATGGATGTTTCACTGTCACATTGATGTCTCTCTAAAAATAAAAAATAATTAAAAAAAAAATCAGGTCTGCCTGACTCCCAACATCATTGATCGTTACCTCAACTCTATATTAGCAGTCTACATTTGGCTATTTGCATTCAGCTTACTTTACTTATATATTTTATTTTTATTATTATTATTCTTTCCTTTATTGATTTTACAGAGACAGGAAGTGAGAGGGAGAGATAGAAACACCGATGAGAGAGAACATCGAGCCTCCCGCATGCCCCCTATTGGGGATCAGGCCCACAACCTGGGCATGTGTCCTGACTGGGAATCCAACCGGCGACCTCCTGGAGCATGGGTGGATGCTCAACCACTGAGCCATACTGGCCGGACAATATATTATACATGACATATGACATATATTATATATTTTAAATATAATAACAAATACATAGGGCCCCAACCAGTCCAGAACAAAGAAAAAGAAAGTGATGTTTTAAGCAGTGAGACTCTGGTATGACTTTACTTCCACTATAATTGCCACGATATTTTCCATTCAATAAATGAAACAATTAGAAAATATAAAATCTCCTTTGGAAAGAAGGCAGGGTTTTAAGTTTAACAGCAAGGTGAAAACTGAGGCCCAGGGAGGGGAAGGTATAGCGCGCTCGGGCCGCTGGGCCCTAAACCCGGGAACTCGGGGATCCCGGCGACCCATCCCACCACCTCTTACAAAGGGGGAAGCAAGGCTCAACCAGCACTAAACCCTTCTTTCTCTCAGTGCACATAGGGAAATTGAGGTCCTGAGTGCCGACCCACTCCTCACTGACAGCTTCGCGGAGGGCGCGCCCCCCCTTTGACCCTGCGGCGATGAGAGATTAGGCCTTTGCAGAGCCTGAGCCTCAGTTGCTCCGCGGAGAACTAAACCCAGAGGGCCTGTCATAAAGTTACTCACCCCAGGCGGAGGGAGAAAGGAGGCGGCTCGTGGACGGAGACGGGGAGTACGTCGACCGATCCAGAGAATGCGATTGCGCTTTGGGCGACCAATAGTATGAAGTAGAAGGAGTCTCGACCCGCCTCAAAGCTACCATTCTCTTACTTAGAACGCCGCGAGATCTTCTCTCAAGCGGACTGATTGGTTGAAAGAGGGAAATTGAGAGTTACGCCCACTGCTTTATCGGATCCCTGATTGGTCGTCTAGAGGAGAAAGCGGTTAACGTCAACGAGTTCCCTGGATGCCCATTGGGGGACAATGCGGGACTGCCAGCGCGCGGGCGTCGGCGCGGGCGTTCGAACCCGTGCTTGGCAGTGTTACCATGGGGATGCGGCCTGGCAGCAGCCTTAAGTTCGTAAGTTAACGGGATACCTCCGTCGCCCGTCTGGGGGCTCTGTCCTGTCGTCTTCTGTCCTCAGACAGGATTGACTGTGGAGAAATTTAGAAGGCTCCGAGGTGAGAAAGGGCGAATGAGAACCGGGGCTGAGTACGCTAGGTCGGGAGCCCTGGCGCCTGCTCCGTGGAAGAAGCACGGTGCGCAGGACGTCCGCGGAGCGCGCGAGGAGGCCGGCGGTTGTGAGTTGCCGGAGCGCACAGCCTTTCTCTTACCCTCATCGCCATATCTCCTTTTCTTCAGCGTTTATCTTGAACTCCACTTCTATGAACCCTTGTCTGAATCTTGAAATCTTCCTGTCTTTGAATCCATAGCCTTGACTGGAACTTCTCTTAGAGCGCTTCTATTCCTCCTTGGGTTGTGTACTTCTGCGAACCCCATCCTCCTCCTTTCTCCCATGTAGTACTGAGGTCTTTGAGACAAGGCAAGCGTTTTTCACAATGTCGTAGACAAACAGACATACCCTGGCGATATTGCGGGTTGAGTTCCAGACCACCGTAATGTGAGTATCGCAATAAAGCAAGTAGTAATCTTTTTGCTGTGGGAGGGTACTATCTTCAATTTGTAAGAAACGCAATCCCCTGAAGCGCAACAAAGCGAAGCGCAATAAAACAAGGTATGCCTGTAGTAAACTTTTCAGGAAATGAGTCTAAATCACTACAGATAGAGGGTTCCCCTCTATGCCATATCCCATTTCCTCCTACCTTACAGAGATGATTTTTTATTTCTATGGGAGTAGAGGGTGGAAACCCTAATCTCATATGCAAAAGGATTTGAAAGTTCAAGGTTGGCTTTTCCTGAATTGTGGCTTTTAGTCTTGGTCTCCCAATGCTTTTATTAGACTCCATCTGTATTTATTAGTCTTTGCTTAAAACAAGTCATTCTGTTGTTGCTGTATCCCAAGAGAATTTGTCTCAATTTCTTGTGACCCACAGCTATTGTCACATTTTAAGTGTGTTTCAGAAATGCTGTAAATCATTTTCTCCTTTGTATTTATTTTCTGCTTGTAGTCTCTCTTCTTCAGTGCATGTAACAGTTGCTCCGGTAGCTGTATTCATCAGGTGTCCATAATAGAACTGCATTATCAAGATTGTTTAATTGTTAACTCCTAAAACAATATGTACCCAATGTGCATCGTTAATGATTCTTTTTTTTTTTATCCTCACCTGAGGACATTTTTTCATTTTTTGTTCAGATAGAGTAGGAGGGAGAGAGAGAGAAAGAAACATTGATGTGAAAGGGACACATCGAGTGGCTGCCACCCGCACGACCAACCAGGGCCCGGGGCAAACTGCAACCAAGGTACGCACCCTTAGCGGGAACCAAACCCAGGTCTCTCCGGACCGCAGGCAGACGCTCTAACCGCTGAGCCAAACCAGCCAGGACCGTTGATGATTCTTGTATTAAAATCATAGCTCAATAACTTGAATAAGGGACTGAAAAAGTCAGATATAGCAACTGTGTTCTATTATCCTCTTAACAAAAGTTTGCACTACGAAACTGCAGATCTGTGACATGTAATGGAAACCAGACTGGGGATTCAGGGTTTGGTCTTGGCTCTGTCTCTAACTCAGTCATTGTGGCTGGCTTTGCAAGTCATTTAGGAAACTGTGTGTGTGTGTGTGTGTGTGAGAGAGAGAGAGAGAGAGAGAGAGAGAGAGAGAGAGGGTTAATTCTCACCCAAGGATATTTTTTCCATGGATTTTTAGAGTGAGTGGAAAGGAGGGGATTAGAGAGAGAGAAACATCTAATTGGTTGGTTGCCTCCCACATGCCCCCCAACGTGCACTTGACTGGGTATCAAACCTGAGGTGACCCTTTGGTGCGCTGGTTGATTCTCCAACCACTGAGCCACACAGGCCAGGGCTCATTTAACCCTTTTAAAGCTCACTTTTTCCATCTGAAAAGTCAAAAGGTTGAATTAGATTAGAATTCCTGTGGCTCTACTATCAAGTTAATCAAACAGTTGATGTCAGGCATCATGCATTCAGTTTCCAACGGCAATGCAGGTGGGAGTCACAGTTACCATTTATTGAGCATTTACCCTGTGCACAGCACTATATCAAAGGTTTTATGTAAATATTACATTTTCCTTAGCATAGTACATGAATGTGCTGCTCACATAATATTTTACATAACTTTTGGTTTATGTTGTTATTGAAAACTTCAGCTATTCATGGGGCAAACTAGGGCATGGTCCTCTCATGTTCCATTTTAGGTAGCAGTTTCAACAGAAATAGCAGTTTCTTTCTCTGGGCTGCAATTTTGTTTGTAAAGTGAGGGTTTGAACTCTTCTCAGATCCCTTATAGATTAATTGATCTGTTGATTCAGTATCCCATGCTGACTTAGCAAACCTGTTTATAATTTGTGCAGAGTAGATTTTCAACAAATTTTGTTAAATAAATAATATAGTTCTATTTCTTAAACTTGTGTTATGGTCATTGTATACTTCTGAGTTACTGTCTCAAGGATTTTGATGTTCATGTTTTATTATACAAGATTTCCCATAGACATAAACTAATAATAGATACCATTGGTATTGGAAAAACTCAGTTTTCCACCTGTGTCTTTTTTTCTTTGTAGAGAAAAACCTCAGTTCTTTCCCTCCTATATGTCTCCTTTGTATTTACACAGAACACTTCTAACATTTCTGGTCACCAAATGTTAGGGGGGTTTCCCCCACCAAACAATTCTCTGTGATACCAGCTGGGTGTCCTACTGTTTAGCTCAGTCTATCAGATCCCACAGGGTGAGGACTCAGTTCCATAAGACTGCTCCCATACCATTTCACATACCAATTGCAAGTAGTAGGTCCCCAGGTTACCCACAACTTTTGTCAGGTTTGGTTGCAAATCAGAGGTTCTTACTACCCCCTTTTCAGGTTCATTTAATTTGCTAGAGTGACTCACACAACTCAGAAACACTTAAATTACATTTACCAGTTTATTAAATGATATAGCCCTGGCCAGTTTTGCTCAGTGGTTAGAGCGTCGGCCCTCGGACCAAAGAGTCATGGATTCGATTTAGGTCAAGGGCACATACCTCGGTTGTAGTTCATACCTGGCCCTGGTCAGGGTCATACAGGAGGCAACCAATCACTGTGTCTCTCTCACATTGATGTTTCTCTCTCTCTCTCTCTCTCTCTCTCTCTCTCTCCCTCTCTCCCTCCCTACCTCCCTCCCTCCCTCCCTCCCTTCCCTCCCACTCTATCTGAAGATAAATGGAAAAATCTCCTCGGGTAAGGATTTAAGATAAATAAATAAAAGGTATTATTAAGGCCCTGGCCAGTTTGGCTCAGCGGTTGGAGCGTCCGCCTGCGGTCCGGAGAGACCCGGGTTCGGTTCCCGCTAAGGGCATGTACCTCGGTTGCAGTTTGTCCCCGGCCCTGGTTGGTCGTGCGAATGGCAGCCACTCGATGTGTCCCTTTCACATCGATGTTTCTCTCTCTCTTCCTCTCTCTCCCTCCCACTCTGTCTGTACAAAAAATGGAAGAATGTCCTCGGGTGAGGATAAAAAAAAAAGATATTATTAAGGGTACAGGTGAAGAGGTACATAGAGGGAGATCTAGGAGGGTCGTGAGTACTGGAGCTTCTGTGCCCCAGATTTGGGGTGCCCCAGATTAGATGTGTTCACTAATCTGGAAGCTCTTCCAACACCATACTTTGAGAGTTTTATGAAGGCTTTATCATATAGGAATGATCAATTCCTAACTCCATTTCTACCGCTCTTTTCTCTTTGGAGAATGGGAGGTAGGGTTGAAAATTCCAAGCTTCTAATTATGGCTGCTCTGGTGACACAGCCCACCCAGAGTTACCTCAGAACAAAGATGCTCCTAATGCTTTATCACTTAGGAATTTACAAGGATTTTAGGAGCCCTGGGTCAGGAACCAGGGGAAGAAACCAATATATATCACCTCACACCATTTTATTTGTTTATTTTTGGTGTGGTTTTTTTTTTTGTTTGTTTGTATCAGATACTGAATTTAGCACTTTATTTATATCCCAATTAATTCTCACAGAAGCAAACATCTTTTCCAAGTCACTATTATTTTTTGCCTCCAGTTTAACTGCAGTAGCTTCCTAAATGAGCTTCCTCCTCCTGTTTTGCCCACCCTCCACTGAGCCAAACCGGCCAGGGCTGCCCACCCTCTATAATCCATTCCCCACAGAACTAGCAGAGTGAGCTCAACCTTCCTAATGCTGCGGCCCTTTAATACAGTTCCTCATGTTGTGGTGACCCCCAACCATAAAATTATTTTTGTTGCTACTTCATAACTATAATTTTGCTACCATTATGTCTTAGGCGACCCCTGTGAAAGGGTCATTCGACCCCCAAAGGGGTCGCGACCCAAGGTTGAGAACTGCTGGCTTTAAAGATTGAGTCCTTTTCCCCCTTAAAATCCTACGATGACTTCCTGTTTCACTTAAGTTAAAATTCAGACACTGTGACATGGCCCAATAGACCCTACATAATCTAGTCCCTACCTTTCTACCCTCATATCATACTACTATCTCTCTCTGTGCTAAAGCCAAATTGGTCTTCTCTTATCTACTTGATCACGCCATGCTCATTTACACCTTAGGACC